TAGGTAGGTAGGTAGGTCGGTAGGTGTGTATGAAAATGCGTAAAAAATAGATATACGTGGATATGCTTGTGTACATAAGAATGTAAAGCGGGGCTTCTTAGTAAAGTAGCTCCTGCGGCATTCTGGAAAATCTGACAGGTTTGCGACTTGACCCGACATCCGAAACCATTCTTTGGTTGCAGGATTGGTTTGAGAGTCTAGTGGAAGTCCCAAATCGAGAAATCACCCGTGCCTGCAGACTTTCTACGGGACCCGTCTCCGCAAACCATAACCCGTAAACCCAAAGCCCTAAGCCCTCAACCTGAAACTCCCCAAACCCCAAAACCCTAAGCCCTTTACCCTAAACTCCAAACCTAAGCCCTAGACCCTGTCTGGTCTGGGGCACTCTACCTCCTCGCCCCGTACCACCCTTTTGGGTGCCCACAGGCCCGATTCAATGCTTGCCCTGCAGTTCTTCTGTGCAGCTGACGTCGGAGGCTTACGACGCTTTAGGGTTTAGGGTTGAGGGTTTAGGGTTTGGGGTTTAGGGTTTAGGGTAAGCCTAAAGATGACTTGAGGAGCATTCCTACCCTACGGTTGATGGGAGCTTCGCACGACTTGTGAGGTCTAGACAGACCCTTTAAGCTCCTATTTAGAGGCGAGGGGCTTGGGCTTTGGGAGTAGGAGACAAGACCCGACTCCCTAAGCGCTTAACCGTAGAAATCTAACCACGAAGCCTACACTCTAAACCCCGAACCCCTAAACCCTAACCCCTAAACCCCAACCCCCCCTAAACCCTAAACCCAAACCCCTATAAACCCTTCCCCTGAACCCTAAACCCTAAAACCTAACCGTGCTCCGCACTGCAGCCATGGCGCAGCTTCTGCATCTTCTCGAGCTTCTCGGTATCCCAGAGCAGCGCCCAAGCGGAGAAATACCTGACGAGCTGAAGGATGTAGAGTTTATAGGGTTTCGGGCTTGGGGCTTGGGGTTTAGAGCTTGGGGTTTAGGGTTTCGGGTTTAGGGTCCCCGCCACCCAAAAAAAGCGACAACAAATATCTATATCTACATCGACATCCGCGTCTACATCTAGATCTACGTCGAGAGAGAGAGAGAGGGAGACAAAGACCATGTTCCGTCCTTGGAAAGGACAGAAAACGAAACCAGAAACCCTAAACCGTCATATCGAGTCCATAGTACTATAACCCTACCCTAACCCCCCAGGCACCTACTATATGGGGCCCTAGGGGCTATAGTACCCTATATAGTAGGTATCTGGGGGGTTAGGGCTAGGTCCTAAGGCATGATATTAAGCTACTCACACATGTCTCTGTATGGTACTTCCGGCGAAGCGCTCATTCAGAATGACCCGAGTCCGCTTGCAGCCCATGCCATCGAGAGCTCTGGCGATACGTTCGTTGCCTCGGGTCACGGCCACCCCTTACGGAGAATAATGCCGTAAACCCTAAACCCGAAAACCCTAAAACCCGAAGCCCTAGACCCTAAACCCTAACCGTAGATTTTAGAGGGCCGTGTGTGGCTTTCTGGGTTCTAGGCTTTGGAGCTTTAGCCTTTTACGTGTGCTTGAGGCCTCGGGGGGGCCTCTGGGTCGGCAGCTAACGTGCATCAGCACTTTGCAGAGGATCCACCGGATAACCCGAAACCCGAACCCCCTAACCCCCTAAACCGCTAAGCCCTAAACCCTAAACCCTAAACCCCTAAACCCCTAAACCCCTACACCCCCACACCCCTAAACCCTAAACCCAGAGGATCCCAAAGATACCACCATTCTGAAAAAATCGGCCTCCTAAACCCTTCACCCCAAGGATGGGGGACCTAGTTCCACGATACAGGATTTAGGGTTTAGGGTGTTCAGAAATGTACCAGAATTCCCGTAGTTTGGGTCCTTTAGGCAGGAACAGTATATCTCGACCCTCTTGGCAATAGTCTACCTGGCACCCCAAGTCCGTCCTACCTCGTAAGTGGGCCATTGTATGGTAAGGTTAGTATGTACGGTTACACGGTTTAGGGTTTACGGTTTAGGGGTTGGGGGGTTTAGGGTTTTAGGGTTCCAGGTTACAAACGCGGATAGCCCCATCCAGCACCCCAAGCCCTAAGCCCAGAACCTTGCACCGGCAACCCTAAACCCTAAACCCAAAGCCCTAAGCCCTAAACCCTAAACCGGACACTCCACACCCGAAACCTTAAGTCCTAAATTGTTGAACACCAATACTTTCGCACGATGGGATCGGGAAACCACGAACCCTAAACCCGAAACCTATTGCGTCGAGCTTGGGATATCCCCAATGACCCTACCAATAGCGGAGCGCTCCGCTCCTTCAAGTGGGGACGCTCCACAAAGCAAGCCCAAATCTAAGATGTCATCAATCCCGTATTCGCATGATAACTCCCGGATATATGCCAGGCAGAAGCAAAATTCAAAAGGAGACCTAAAGCTTACCAAAACCCGAATACAAACCCATGTCATACACAGTTTCACAGTTCGGTGTAGGGCATAACGCTCTGGCTTTCAGCACTTCCTCCAGTGCGATATTCTTGTTCTCTCTGCCATTATTGGTGTTGCAATTGCTTTTCGCTGATTTACTATTATCACGATGATTCCTTATTGTACTACTGCGATTATCAAAGTTTTACTATCATTATCATTACTACTACTATGATACTGCTACTACTACTACTACGACGACGACGACGACGACTACTACTACTACTACTGCTACTGCTACTGATACTGCTCGTGCTACTGCTAGCTACTGCTACTGCTACTGCTACTGCTACTGCTACTGCTACGGCTACGGCTACGGCTACGGCTACGGCTACGGCTACGGCTACGGCTACGGCTACGGCAACGGCTACTACTACTGCTACTGCTACTGCTGC